TTGCAGAGATTGCGCACCTGGCCTGCTTATAATAACAATGAAGAAAAAATAGAGTTTAGCACATATTCTGAAAGTAAGAGTTGTAGTATGAACTAGATGAGGTTATATATGTGTGCTACACGTTTGGAGGAAGTACAGTGATCTGTAGTGTTGTCATTGCTCATTTTATACTTATTCTAATAATAAAATAGAGGTGTCTTTTGTCATTTAGGCTTTGGGAAATTCCTCATAGTATTATCTTTTATTCCAATTAATGTGATATGAAAGACATGAGATGAAATACAAATGAAATTAATTTGATAATAATCCACCTGTCCTTGGTGATGCTTTTGAATATTTCTCTCTGATTATTTTGCAACTTGCAGACGGTCCCCAAGCATTTGCGAAGGAGTGAGCTCTGCATAGGTTCCAATGTAATTCTCCCAGTGCGATAAGAGACGCGTTTTGAGGAAACTAAGGTTGTAGCTCACTGTCTGCCTTGATGTGGTTGTGGAGAGGTGTCTGTTTTGTAGAATAAATAATCCGCAGACGAGTTATTAAACCGGAAAAGCCGAATCTGTGAATACGTTGCCAACTTTACTGCAGTCTCACGATGCTGTATCAGCTGCAGCGGAGGAGAGATCCGTTGCAGCGGAGGAGAGATCGCTTGAGTTATATTTGCCCCCTAGTAAATAGAGCAGATGAACATTATTTAATAAATATTCTTGCTTTCCCTCTCTACAGTGTTCCAACTCATGCAGCTATTTTCCTTGTACCGATCAGTTATCATTTGATTGCTGCGCTGGTGGCACCGCTGTCTAAAATCATCCCGGTGTTGGTGACACTGATGACGTAGACCTAGTTATAATAAATTACAAATATGATTCCGACCCCTACCCTCAGGTACAACACACTCCAACAGAGAGGCTTGAGCTAAAACCGAAACTGAAGGGGGTGGAATGGTTCTCCAATGACAGCGCTAATGGGGATTTACATCTGAAAAGGGATTCATGAGTTGTGAAGTACTTTTGGGGGGACTGGAGGCTGAAGAAAATTCTCGTAACTCTGGACTTTCTAGTGCTAACAACTAGATGAAGAGGTTAAAACTAGCAGAATTAAATAGAAAATTAGATTAATTGAGAAATTATATATATATAAAAGGTCAAACTAGCTTTCTACATGTGGATTACATTTTTAAAGATGCTTAAAAATAAAATAATCAGGAAGACAAACATAAGATTATATACAATTATGGAATTTTAAAGCCTTGGATGGTAAAAGGTTACAAAAATACAATTATACAATTGTATTCATGCAGACTAAAATTTGGTCCCTTAAATTACCTAAATAGTTAGACTAAAACCAATAAACGTCTGTTGTTGCGCTCATATAATTAATAATAATAGTTGAGGAGAAAAAAATGGGATTAATTGCAATTAATTAATTACAGACACTGTAATTAACGTGATTAAAAACTTTATCGCGTTCCACCACTGATTACAACTATTTCCAGCTGTTTACATTTGGTACAGTACACCTTGACTGGAGACATCTGGGCAATAAACAGACTGATACATAATAAATGTATCAAGTGATTTACAACTAAGTAAACAGACTAGTTTTTAAAATGTCCACAATCTGGTGAAGAGAACATATTGAATGCGAATTGTGCCTGGAAGAGTGTATGCTATGATGGGTCTTTGTGAGTAAGAGGATACTAATTTCCTGTTAGAAAAAAAAAACAATTTATCGTTTTCCTGTGTGGATGTTTTAAAGTTTTCTGCACAAGTGTTTTTATTGGCTTGAGAGCTGCTGATTTTCATCACAAAGAGCTCAGAGCTGCCAACCATTGTGTTACTTCAGCTGGTGGATAACCTCCACACCTCCGGCATCTTTCCCGCTGCCATCCATTTCCTCGTCTGTGTCGCCTACCAGCCCATCTTTCCCCCGCGCAGCAGGCACTCGGTGTGATGTGCTGTGCAAAACATTCTCACTGTGAACTTAACACAATAGTGTAAGTCTAAGTGCAAACACTGTATCTTCAATCATAGAAAAGGTAATTATCTAGACTATATAAGATATAATATTAAAAATGTATGTTATTTTCTGTTGTAACATTTTGTCTAAATCATAATCACCCAATTTTATATTAGTATTCCCCACCTGGAATTTATGTTCAGATTGCTGACAGTTTTCTCAGATTCATCAGCAATATCAGCTGTTAGTCTTTTCAGAAGTATTATTGTATTTATTTAATAAAATGACACATGCTTTCAAATTTAAAAATATTTATTTATTGTGGTTTGAAAAGCTTGAAGGTGAAGTTTAAAGGAATAGTACACCCAAAACATGATTAGCCTTCATTTTCTACTCACCCCCATGCTGAAAA